TACTATTAATTTTAGAATTAGGAGTAGTATTATCGTGTGCAATAATTACGCAAGTGAATATGTTATATTTGCGTTCGTACACATTTAATTTCTTATGTGCCAAAATTGAAATAGCCATATATAAAATCACATATAGGGTTCATTGATTCTCTTACATCGTTTGTCTCTTGACTTCCTAAGCTGATTTGTCTGAACTGTTCTGTGCCTGTATACTCTTATGTTCTATTATAACACCGTTGCTTTCACCCGGTCCAAATACTGAGAAAACTGATGTAATTGTGCATTGTTGCATACATCCATCCAAACGCATTCGATTAAATAAACCAGTTGGGTCGATCATGTTAAAAACCTTCCTGCCCACAAGGAACAAACCTTATTTAGCATCAGATAAATGCTATACCCATAGTATTCGTTGTAAACTACTTAGATAAAACTACATTTTCTAGTTGGTTCTTTGTTCGGTCTTTTCATTATTCGTGTTTTCCGTGACGCGTTTAACGTCAATCAAGTTTCTGCGTTTCATATGTACCATACGGTGATGCATCTTAAATATTACGTCGAACTGATAATTGAATTTTACTAAGGAAAGACTATTCTGCTTTGCTAAGTTGAATTTATTCAACAAACTTCGAGGGTTTATCTAATAAACGTCAGTCTCTGCGACCACAATGCTATATCGCCCTTGTAAACGCAAACTTATTCAAACATTAGCTCTTACTACATAGTACTAATATGTGAGAACAGCCCGGCGTGGGCGAACTTGGCTGCTTCGGCAACGAATCTTCAGATTGAGACATTTAGCTGTTAGCCGTACCACACGCTCCAGATGCCATCGTTACGTCTGCATCTGGAATAGTTACGAGCGTTGCCGGCGTCGCTATCGTAAACAACGAATCATTATTAACGCGAGGATAGACTACGACAGATCGTTACCGCTGATTCTTGTGCCGCTATGTTTTAACGCTATGGTGAAAGCAAATGCTGTGGAGTAGTATGACCTGAACTGTATCCTACGGCTTTCTCGGCGTGCTTGGATGCGTCACCACCTTCATTACTGTAATTCGTTCGTATCGGCTCATCAACGGACAGCTAGTTAGGTAGACGTGCCGTATTCGGTTAGTTAAAGATCGGCGGCAGATCTTTATACTCTTGATATTACTATGGGTAACAAATGCAAGGCGAAAGACAACAAGATGTAGGGAGAATCAGTCATCTGAAGCACAGGCCGATCGAAGGACTCCAGCTGCAAACCAAAATACTGCAACGTTAATCGATATAGCTGGCTAAGAGTACCGTGAGTCGTCGATTCGTTCGATCGACATTTGCTAGTTTGACGAACAGCAGTGTCCTGCTCTCAGATGCCGATTATACGAATAGTGATCGATCTTTAAAGCAACACATAGTTCCCCAAAAAACCCAAACCAAAAACTGGGCAGTATTGGCAGTTCAGGGCTAGGTATTATAACGGGCGTGCGCAGGTCGGCTGATCTATCGGGATAATTCTATACGCACCCACACTTTTGGCAGGTTACAGAAGCTACGGCTGATGTTGCCAGGATCTAATTGTAGTCGATGTCAGTGCCTGCCGCCTCAGTCAGCCGGTTCTTCTCTATTAAGAAGACGAAGATCAGAAGTGCAAATATAATAGTTGTTAAGGCGTACGCTGTTAGTATACTAGAAATGCGGTGCGATGTTTGTAACAATAGCTGAGATTAGAAGGAACTCAACTAACAGATAAGCAAGTGGCGGGATAGATAAAACAGCGTTCAGACGACATCTTGAAAGAACTGTAATTTTCTTTATTAAAGTTTGATAAGTGTGTGGTTTCAAGACAGAGTAAGCTCGTAATTGATAACATCTTTATTACCTTGTTCTAGGGTACAACAGGTTATTACGTTAAGGATTATATATGTACATGTATGTATGTGTATGTTGGTATAGGTATCCCATGTAAGCATAGTTAAGTATACTAAATATAGTTTGAGATTCATTCCCCCTTTCTCCCTCTCCCTAAGGAACAGTAGTAGGAATTGTGAATGCAGAGATTCATTTTATCTGAGTGAATATCCATATGATTGATTTGTGTGATATGTGAATATACCTGTGTGAAGCTCAGTTGTCCATATGCCGACCGATTCGCAGGCCATATAACCAACATGAGCTTACTCAATAGGAGCTCTCGTTGTATGAATCGCCGACCTTTTCAGTATATGTGCTCGGCCCTCTGTACAAGCATGGTGTTTGTAGGGGAACGATTCTAGGCCAGCTGACTAACTTTCACCTATTCGATGAGAAAAGCACATGAGAAATTGAATTCGTCACATGCCCACGAAGATTATCACACAAAGGCTGATTTCCTTCTGTACTAGTTCAATTCAGTATTGACCGACAAAAAGTCAAAAAAGGGGCTGGGCATTGATATTGACCAATGCATGTTCACAGAAAAAATTTTACCCCTTTTTGGTGCTAAGCACTACAGAATTATGTTACAATACTACGATACGTGCTGCTGAAGAATATAGATAGATCTAGTAAAAACCGCATCACGAGGTATCTGGCGCCACTTACATAGGCGCCACGTGTGCCTTCTCTCGTAGGGTACAATAATATAGCGTAGACAAATTGCCGTAACGTGTTTATTACGAACTCTTATTCTGTGACCAATATAACCGTCGGTATCAAATACTTGATAGATAATAAGGTTTATGTCGAGCATGGACCAGATTCATATATGTTCCATATGAAAATAAACCAAAACATACAATTCCATTTGATTATTCTAGTCTATCTAAAATAAACACAACCAGTATTGACTTCAGTCTTTGCTGATCCAAATTGGAATTCTACTAAGAAATACTTGCCCTGGTCGGAAAACGCTGTCAAAAAAAATACCGAGTCTATGTACTATATACACCCTGCCAATATTTCATTTCTCGAAATCGGCCCGAACACAATCAGATACGCCATCGTTCGATCTGAAGGTTCAACACCAGTCGTTCATTCAAGCAAACTAACATCAGCTCCGAGGCACTTGTGGCGACCCCAGCCACGAGGTTAATAGGAATTGCTTTGGACCTCTGTCTAATTGATAATTACGGTCCACCATCATATACACAGAAATGTATAGTCAAACAACTGATAATAGCGATCAGTAGTAGATAGCTATAGTGGAAAAAGAGTCACTTCAAAGTTAGTAACATGGGAAAATTATCTCTTTAATTGGAACGCGCTTTTGCTCTTGAAATTCAAATTTTTTCTGTTGTTCCCTGAGACGCAAAATTCGCATTGAGCTCCCATATAATGATTATACGAGTTCCAATCATATGTAGAAATATCACTTATAAGGCTAGTTCGGTGCGTAATTTATACGGCAAAAGGATTTGATTGGCTCCGTTTGAGCTATTTACATATGTCTACATCGTATATCATAATTGCAACGATCG